GTAAATTTCAGAAATGCTTGAAACTTCAATATTTCGAAATTGAAGGAGGCTAATTTACTCAAAATTGATACACTCCGGATTACCATCTAGCGGAAGGTGGTCGGAAAGGTGAAAAAACATATATTTAATACTTGCGCCGGGTATTTAATGTTCGGCTCCGCCCGAACTTAGACTTTCTTACTTGTTGTTTTTATATTTACCTTTGCCTTTATCCTTTTCTTTATCTATGTACGTACTCACCTTTACTTTTATTCTTGGATTGGTCTTTCTAAGTGTTGTTTCTCTTCAAAAAGTTTTCGCGTATTATGCATACTTGTGTTCATACATATATGTGTGTACATAAATAATATGTATAGACATACTTACATAGATTACTAAAAAATCCACATTACCTGCTATCAACATATGTACGTATGTATGTATTTGCATATGTACATACGCTGCGATTTGGTTGTAAATATTGCGCCTTCTGTTTATTAAAAGCCGAAATACATATGTACTTGCGCAGACATACATACTTTTTGTCTCCTTCCCTGACTTCCAACGCATGCACGTGTTTGCAAAACAATGACGAAGTGATTTTGTATGGGAAATCATTTATGCCCATATATTTGAATCAAATAAACATACTTAGAAGATATCAACCAATACTTCCCATATACCAAACGAAAGGAAAACTCTTGACTTTTTGATTAAAGAAAACAAAAACAAAATCATTTGAGCGGTTTTCAATCGTTTTGGTAATAAAAAACATTTGCAAATTTTGTCATTAATTTTTTGCCTTAAAATGCTCAATATTTGTTGAATTTATATAAAATCTGTACACGATAATATTTCTATTGCTCCAAAGAATCTATATCCCGAAAATTAAAGTTATATCTGCAAATCATAAGCTGCTGGAGCACTTTAAAGGCTCAAAATTGACCCCAAAATAAGGCAATATTTACCGTTGTTTCTAGGACAGACGTCGAATCGGTTACTTACAGAAATGTATCTGTCAATAGGTTTGGAATTTTATCTTTGAAATGCCACACTTTTCTTTGAAATCGCTTCATTAGTTCTCGTGCAATAAGCGTTTTCGTGAAGCTCTAAAAATTACAACTACAACATTTCAGCATAGCCTCCATATCTTAGGGTAAGACGTATTCTACGTCAAAATATATATATATATTTCAATCCTTGACGGCCGAGAGGTCTAAAGCGGTCTCTTTTTAACTTTATAAAGTGTAGTTTTTTTAAATATTCGTATGAAAGAATAACAAAATGACACTCAGTTATATACTCCATTTAAAAAGTGGCAATTTTTGAAAAATGTTTCCAAATTATGCCAATTTCAATTTAAAGTCCAAAAAGCCTTAATTTGGTTAAAAGAAGCAACATTAGCATCAACAAAGTTGTAAACAGCCGTTTGTTTCCTATCTTTCTTGATTTCTCCCCTCCAAACGATAAATAGTTCTTAGCTGACACTATCACAACACAAAATATGGTGGCATTAGATGCAATACTTATATTCCAAAATTTCCTAAGCTTATGTTAAATTAACATTTAAGAAAATTCTAATAATTATTAGGTAGCTAAGAAAAATTAGATATTATACCCAAAGAAAAGCAATATCTTGTTAGCACACATCTTTACTATCTACTCACTCGTAGCTTTCGTCTCAATACCAGCGTTTTTTAAGAATGAGTTCTAATATTTTGATAAGAGCACTTAAAATTTACGCTTTATAATTCACACTCATTTGAATTTTCAATTGTACAAAAATAAGTAGACTTTGACCACTGAATGTTACTACACGGCTTTTTATAAAAACAAAGTTATCCCTCCCATGTTTTAAAATGGTGTTAACTAGGGATGTCAATCCCGGGTCTTTTTGAGGTCCCGAATATCCCGGGATTAGTCGATTTAAATCCCGGGATTGCTGGAAACAATTTTTTTGTTAGCCAATTAAATTTTTATTACAAATATCCCGTCTCAAGGGCAAAACAAGCATTTTTTGCAACATTGGTTGCGCTCAGTGATCGGACTTCTACCACATTGTGGTAGATCTGCCACTTTTTTGTGCATCTACCACACAAGGTCTGAAATCTACCACATATTCGCGTTTTTGAGTAGTTTTATTTTTGATAGACATAGTTTTCTTATTTTTAAGAGCAAAAATGGTCCAACACTAAATACTTACAGCAAAGCGGAATGGGAGGATAAAATATATAATATATATATCATAGCAAGTTTTCTCAGTAATAAATTTTTCGAGAGGAAACGTGGTTTTATTGTGTTGAATTGCAAAATATATGATTTGTAAAAAGAATTAATTGCGAAAATGTTAAAAAACGGCGATTTTTGTGCAAGTATTAGCAAATGTCAGTGCATCTAAAGTTTCTACGGCTTGTTTACTTTTACTTGAGAATTGTCAAAACCGCCGAATCCCAAGTAGAGGTTTCTGGAAAGTGTNAGTTTCTAAGGCGTTGTTTACTTTTACTTGAGAATTGTCAAAACCGCCGAATCCCAAGTAGAGGTTTCTGGAAAGTGCCACATTTGTATTAGCTACATCGTGATGTGGTAGAAAGAAAACCTAGCAGCACTCCGCAAGGTTGCAGAAATCTCTCAAAATATGTTTGAAAAATATCTTGATATAAAGCAGTTCCTTTACACTGTCAAGGAAAAAATTGCAAAAACTCAACGCAATTTTTAGCAAATTCAATCTTGTACTTTATTATACTAAAATTAGATCTTTTTTTTTGTAGATTCTTATTAAAATGTTTGCAATTTTGGTGAAACCTTGCAGAATTTTTAAATTTTTGTACAAAGTTTGATCCAGAACCCGAGATCTACCACATTTCTTTGAAATCTACCACATTTTTTTCTAGATTCTACCACACAAATTTTTTTTGAAGTCCGATCACTGGTTGCGCTTTACGCGTTTGCAACACCGTTTTAATAAAACTGCCGGAATTTCGGGACAATCCCGGGATCCCGGGATTGTATTTTCAGATCCCGAAAATCCCGGGATCGACAAAACCCCGAAAATTGACATCCCTAGTGTTAACACATGTAAAAAATTAGTTTTGGTCACAAAAATGGGCATTGGGACATGTGGTTGCATACGGAAAACACGGTGGAGTGCAATAAGGTCTGCAGAAATAACGCCCATGGGCTTTATTTCCTTAAAAAAAAATAAAATAAAGCCCGCGGGCGTTATTGCCTTTTCGAAAAAGTAATTAAGCGCGCGGGCTTTACTGCCTTTTGCCGGTGCGCATTATTTCCCTTTCAATATGGCAATAACGCCCGCGGGCTTCATTTCCTAAAAAGTGAAATAAAGCCCGCGGGCGTTATTTCCTCTTTATTGTGGCTCTTGTCTCAATTTTAAAATATGTACATTCAAAACTCCCTGTTCGAAATAAAAGCTAACTAAGATGATAACATTGAACTCAATATTTATTTTCCTTTATTATACGAAGAAATTTAAATTAACAAATTTCAATGCATATATTTAATACATATGTATGTATGTATGTATGTACATGTGTATGAGAATTAAATAATTCAAAGTTTCAGCAACAAAAAAAGGTACATGAAAAAGTAAAAAGTTAAATAAATACTTTCGTGGATTGTCGAATAATTTGACGGCAAATTGGACATAAAATGCTTGAATTGCCATTTAGACGCCTGCTGTGCTCTGCAAAGCAATATGTGCAAAGTTTAAAATGATTGGCCGAGCTTCCCCTCCGATTGGCGGTGTGTGCCTTGATGTCACACAAACCACTCGACCACGACTGATTTATATTATTCTACCCTTTACTAATTTTTGTTGTTCGCGAAAATTTTCGTGCGTCATCCACATCACCACAGTATTTCAGCGGCGTGGTTCAGTGTTGCCACAAAAAAAATTACCAAATTCCTCAAAAACAAACGAAAAATCCTCAAAATCCGAACAAATTTCTTAAAATTTTCTTATTACAGATATGAGTATTGTGTACTGCATACTATTTACAGGTACTTAGTATAAAAATTAATTTCATTCTCCAATTTAATTGGTATATTTGTTCTGGCGGTTCAAACAAAGTATTACCGTTATTTTTTATGTCTTGGTTTGTATATAATATTGATGCAACTATATTAGTGCTCAATCTGGTCCTCAAGTCAGTCCTACACATTTTTAAAGTACTAAATATACTTTACTAAAGCATTAGAAAAGGGCTATATTAGTAATGCAGATATATATTTTTTTAATTGGGAAACTTATATGAACCTGAAGAATCTTTTAATTCAAAAGCTTTTCTCATAATTTTCTGGATCTAATGAGGAATCAATATGAATATCCTTATGATCGAACAATGCGTGTTCTCTCCATTCGTTATTATCGATAACATTTAAAATATTTAGCAGCAAATGCAGATGTGCTTAAGAGCGAAAGACACCACACAAGCGGCTTGACAAACCAAGCGAATTATTCCTTTCCTTAAAGCTATTTATCTTGTGTATGGGGGTTTTTGAAGGTTTGACAGGCCGTAAGCCGTTTGAGGAAAATGTAAAAAAAAATTAAAATTTTTTGATATTCTGGCCGCCATGTTTACATTTGATCAAACCGCTTACGTTGTGTATGATAAAATCATCTAATTCGCAACGGAATGAGGACGCGAGAGAGAAAAATCGAAGAAAACCAAACCCTTTTACATTTTGAACCGGAAGAAAACTAAAATTCTTTGTTTGAACGATTCATGTTTGCATGGTGCATGGCGAAATAGAAAAATTAGGTTTGAAGAATGTTTGACAAGCCACTTGCATTTCGCTCTTTAAATATATTGGGAGAAAATTCCTCAAAATAAAAATCCTCAAAAAATACTCAAGAAATACTCAAGCGAACCCGAAATTCCTCACAATTTGAGGAATTACCTACAAAGTGGCAACACTGGCGTGGGTACACAAAGAACCCCAACTCATCATCGTACATTCATATAGTGCATTTAAATCATATATGTGATACTTCTATATTGCTAGCATGATGCAATAATGAAAGGTGTTATACGTTGGCAACTTCTCGCTCTAATCCGCCATCTTGAACTACCTTAGGAGAAACTGTGTTGTTTCTTTGCTAATTTCACTGAACATTTCCCAAAATATTAGAAAAAAAATTCTAAACAAGCTACATTGATTCAATTTTCGTTGTTCGTTTTGTTCTTATTCGCTGACATTTGTTTTCCAATTGCGTGAAATTTGGTAAGTATTGTAATAAAACCGAATTATTTTACAAATAAATTATAATTTTGCATTTATTAGGTCATTTCCTTAGTGTTTTCCTGGCCGATCTGTGCTGGTATTGTAATTAGGAGCTAATACACGTAAGTTACAACATATTATTTTGACTTCATTGATGAACCATTCCATTTGCAGCATTCTCTGGTGAACTGCAGCTGCGGCCGAATTTGATTGTGTGCATCATCCTGCAGATATTTTGAAGTAAGTTGGAACCAGCTCTTTGTTATTTCAAAACCTAATGAACCATTTATTCGCAGATTTTGTGGACGCTTCTGTTGTGCTGCGTTCCTGCTCCGCCCGNGTGTTAAAAACCTAAAAAGCCATTTATTTGCAGATTGTTTGTATGCTTCTGCTGTGCTGCGTTCCTGCTTCACCCGTGTATTAGATTGCTGCGTTCCTGTTAATATACACATCGTCGTTTAAAGCATGATAAAAGCATAGTAAGGTAAAACCGTTCTCTCATTGTGTCGGCCATGATTTTTTTTTTGAAGTTTGCCAACATTTTAAAATCGTATAAAATTGAGAGTAAAAAAAAGGAATTGTTCAAAGTTGTTGTTGTTTGAGATTGAAAATGGGAATGTGTGTGTGAGTTTGTGTGTAAAATTTTAAAATTAAATTGCTTGCAAACGTCAGGAATTTGAAAAATTCTTCTCAGCGGTTCTACCTTCCTATTTTTTTATCATGGTTTAAAGTACGAAACCGCGTAACTGACATTTGCTGCTAAAAATTGGATTTGCTCACACAAGTTCTGGGCTCAATCCTTATCATATACTAGCCAAAAATGCGATTGCTTTTTAAAAAAAGATAACCATTTTGAAATATGAGTGTTTTTACTCTCTAGAAAATAATTTATGCAACCTCGCATTATCTTGATACACGGTTTTGTACTTTAAACGACGATATGTAGATGTATGTATATATCACATATATTGACTTAGATATGTATAGACAATTAATGATGTGTACATAATTTTTTTTATGTTGAAACTAGATATGTATATAGTATGTTATTATTATTATTCGGGTCGAAAAAGTCCTATCTCAAATGGAAATACTTTGAAAATGTGCTGAGATAGGGCGTCTTTGGATCGCCAGCTGAGATAGGGTGTTTTTGAACCGAGTTCTGAGATAGGGCATTTTTCAATCAAATTCTAAAATAGGGCGTTGTAAAGTTTTCTGATATCGAGTGTTTTCGACCTGGCTGCCGAGATAGGTCGATATTCCACTCAGCCATCGATATATAGTCGCATTTTTCGGTATATGGAAGACGATTAAACACGATTTGTTTTTATATCGATTCTAAAAAATCAACGGTAATTTTTAGCCACTTCAAACTTGCATATAATAAGACTAAAATTGAAGGGCCTATAAAACTGAGTGCTCAAAAAAATTCTAACACTTCTGAGAAAAAAGTGTGAATTTTGGGTGAAAATTTGTTGTATTTTTTGTAGTTTTTTTACGAAGTTTTAAAATTGGGTTTATATGGGGTTTGTTAGAAATTGAGCTTTATTTTTATTGCAAATTCTTAGAAATAAATTAACATGAGAGGGAAATAATATCACTTTGAAATAGGGTTGCTATTGATATGACCGATACTGTATGTATATAATAAATTTTGTACAATTAAAAAACAAAGTGGATTTACTAAAATGAACACAACGTATTAATTATAAATTCTGAAATATATTGTTAATTTCAAAAACAAATAAATAAAACATTAAAAAGCTTGCTGTATGACTCGAACTTGGATGTACGTGAACTTGGGTAATGTATAATTGTTTATATGATTCCTCAAAGTATCCCTTATATAACACTGTGGAACACAAAAAAACCTTAGTGCGAATATATCAAGTTTGATAGCTGTTGGCCATACCAATAATGCCTCATACTCAGATTTCCTAGATCAATTCGTGTTCTCCGAGAAAAAAAAATTTCACGATCCAAAAATCTGAAAAATCTATTTTCTCCAAATTTTGAACATTTATCGTTTTTGGCCTATATTTTGTGGCAAATACCATACAAAGCAAATATAGGCCAAAAAACGAAGAATTTTCAAAATTTTGAGAAAAGAATTTGACCGCTATACTCAGATTTTTGAACCGTGAAATTTTTTTTCTCGAGAACACGAATTGATCTAGTAAAACTGAGTATGAGGCATTATTAGTATGGTCAACATCTATCAAACCTGATATATGCGCACAAGAAGCCCATTTGAAAGAGGGGGACAAAATATCACACGTAAATGAATTCCTCTATTTGGCCTGTACAATATAAGGGAAACATTTCAAATTCATAAGGGATAATTTTCTTAGTGATACGGCTTATATAAGGAATTATATATGCCTTACTGTTCTAGCTGGGTATTCATCAGCCCAAAAATGTTAAGCATATTATCATATTCCTGTGAATAAAAAAACGCCTAATTTTATTATTTTAATTATCTACAACTTTATGAGACTACCAAGCCATATAGTATATACCTATTCAGATAATCGGAACGCTGTTGAGAAGGCATAAAATTTAGTACTTTTTCAACTAAAAGGCCTTTTTTCTTCCCGTTTTTCTTGTACTTCCAAAATACAATATTGACCTAAGGTAGTTCGCTTTCGAGCTGTCACAACGTTCAACACCTTTCATTATTGCATCATGGTAGAAGTATACGTGTACCCACCCAACAAGCAAAATAAACTTAAAGAAAGTTTTTTTTAAGTTTTCAATTATAAACATTAAGCTTACAAAACGTTGATTTTTTGTTTATAAAACGCTTGAAAGTAAGCGTAATATAATCGAAAAGGAACAGTGGTTATAAGCGTAGAAATATAAACTTGTAATAAATGTTCAAAATAAAGCTTTTTATAAGCGTAAAAGTGTAAACTTATAATAAAGGTTAAAAAAAGTTGTTTATAAGCGTATGAATATAAACTTACTAAAAATTTTCAAAGGACAGCTTTTTATAAAAATTTTTATAACCCTTATTTAAAGATATTTCATTAAAAACTCATACATAGATTGCTTAACATCTAGAAACTAAACGAAATGCGAATTTGCGGCGGACTCATCTACTGTCGCGAAAATATAAATAGGGAAAATTAAAAAAATTAAACATAAAAAAGTTAATTATTACATCTTGTTGCGTGCTTTCAATTACATGCAGTTATTGGCAAATTGGAAAAACGACATCGATGCAGCTACATATTCCGCTTCATCGCCGCCATTCTCATTGATGAACTTTTCTGAAAAAAATTTAATACATTTTTAATTGAATGTTAAACTAAGAAAGAATAAGGAGAACTCATCATTTGAAGACTCGAATGCTCAACCGATTAGCGCAGTGGATCCTGGATTGGATTTTTTTACCGCATCGGTTTTATTTAATTTTTTCTTTTAATAATATATTTAAAAAAATGTAAACACGTCACTTAAGGCGCTGGGCCCAATGCAGGCTTGCTTTGTGCGCCTTGCTGACTTCAATTTGCTTTGATTTACTTTAAAAACTTGCTTGGCCGAATGGTGGCTTGGAACGCTGTCAAAGTAACCAGCTGTCTGGTTGAAAAGTCAATGTCTGTTCCCTTAACGTTAATAATCATTTCCTAGAAAACTCTAAAAAATTTATCAAAAACTTTCAGATTTATTTTTACATTAATGCGAAATAATGTTTGTATTTAAAAGAAATGATAATAATGATACATACATATCTATATCTACATTTACTAAAAAAACTATAACTTAAAAAAGCGATTTACTTGAAGAAAAGAGCCATAAAAAGTTTTTTCCTCTCGTGTAAAATTTGTAAAAGTGGGCTTTGCAACTTTTTACTATAAGATAACGATATGTTAAAAGTAAATATGGAAACAATGAATCAATTTTATTTCATTTCGAATTACCTGCATTTTCTGTGACTATTTTGNTGTAAAAGTGGGCTTTGCAACTTTTTACTATAAGATAACGATATGTTAAAAGTAAATATGGAAACAATGAATCAATTTTATTTCATTTCGAATTACCTGCATTTTCTGTGACTATTTTGAATTAAGTAAGCAAATTTTTGTTTGAATTTATGTATTTTGAAAGGAACATAACTCTTTGTCAAAAGCCTACAAAACGTTTTCAAATAAAACATTTGACTATTTCAAACATTGAGGCGCTTAAAGCAAGTGAAGAAAAGCTGTCATTTGGCCAGCCTTTATACGTTTTAGTATATTCCAAATAATTTTTGACACTTCTCGCGGCGAAGTAGGCAAAGCAAGCCTGCATTGGGCCAGCACCTTTACGATTGAAAAAATGTTATATTTACTACTTCATGTCGTTGGCATTTGCATTTCATTTATAAGTTTAAGTTATTTATAAACATTCGCTCTCAAAACTTATTAAAGGTTTATTTGAAAATACGTTTAATAAGCTTAATATTAAAAATGATTATTTAACGCTCATTATAGCAAACTTACTTTAAGTTATTTTTAAAAACATTTACTGAAATGCTTGTTGGGTATATTTGTAAACTACTACATAGAATGAAGCATGATAAAAACATTACAAGGTACCCACCAAACAATTTCTGTTGCCGGCAATAAGAAAACGTGTCGCCCTCGGAAACAAATTTATTGCCGGTAATATTGCCATCGAATCGATTTCCTATTACCGGTCGCTGTAAAACGTCCGCCGAAGGCAACTCGCCTGGGCTAGTCGTTTTCTTATTACCTGAATGAGTCCTTTTCTTATCGCTTCAGGCAATATTTGGAATAATTTTATTCTTTTGAATTTTTGAATTTTTGAGAACTTATTTATTCAAAATTGACATGAACGAAGTGATGTTGCCGATTTGTCAGCACAGCAATAAATCGGTGAGTCGCCAATTTGTTGCCATTGACGATTGTTGCCTATTTCTCATGTTTTGCATGGTGGGTAAATTCATTCTCTCAATTCGTCGGCCATGATTTTTTCTGACGTTTGCCAACATTTTAAAATCATATAAAATTGAAAATAAAAAAATTAAATTCTTCACAATTGTTGTTGTTTGAGATTGAAAATGAGAATGTGTGTGTGAGTTTGAGTTTTGATATTAAAATTATATTGTTGCCAAACGTCAGACTGCCTCTCAATGCCATATCATAGCAGGTGCGGTTCAGAGAATTAAACAAACAAACAAAAATTGTACGGTCCCATGTTTCCTTCAAACCGCAGTTAACGCAAACGAATTTTGTTCAAAATTAAATTTTGATGCATAAACGCTCTTAGACTGTCTTTGCACCTGTGCGGAGTTGACTTGACAACTTGAAGAACGCATGGAACGGGCCATAATTCGAAATTTTTTGCAGCGAATATGATGTGTATGTACTGCTATCACCGCTAAAAGTGTAAATAAATTCTCGACATACACCCTAAGTTCAAACATACGCCACAAAATAAAATTAAATGAGCAATTTCTCATTTTCGGGGCGCTTCGGAATCGAAGCATTATACTTTGCGCCTATTTTCTTACTCTGCATCGGCATTTCGGCAAAAAATTGCTTTCATTTTCTAGTTACTCTCTGTCAGATTTTTGTTCAACTAGACTCTAGGTCCTAGAGTATTTCTGCTTCAAGAAGTAAGTTTTGAAAAAAACAAATTCTACATTTTTTGCGGTTAGGGCTCGATATGTCGACTTTCTTCGAAGCTCTTCGTTTTTTCGATATCCGAAAAATTGGAAAACAGGAGGTGTTTTTCCTAACTAATGGCGTTTTCTTTTCTACCGAAAAATGTTGCCTTCTCAGTGGCCTCTACGCATAAATACTAAGGAGAGGGCATTGAAAAGGCAACAGTTTTTGTAGAAAAGAATTCGCCATAAGACAAAACTTATTTCCACATGAAGCTGTGTGGCATATGATAGTTGACCGAATCCAATAAAGCACGCTATTCGTTTCTGTTCTGTGCTTATTGACGCCAACTGATGCCACTGGTCCGTCTGTAACTGGTACCTTTATCCTCTGCCACCACAACGGCTGCCGTGTTTCTCATAAAAATATTTTATTTTTTGTTAATTTTTCATGTGAACTATTTTTCAATAAGAATTGGTTAAACCGCTCCTGAATTTTGAAAAGTCAAAATGTCAGTTTCAGTATATTCTCTTATCGGATCTCTCTTTCTTTTTTGAATATATCGAGACTCTCATGTTGTGGAATGTACTTTGAATTTACTAGCAATATAGAAGTACTACATATATGATTTAAATAATGTAAGTATATAAACAAAAAAATTTTCCGGCGTTATGACGAGGGGGGGTTGGGGGGAAAGCGAGCCTGTTGGCGCTCAACCGCGGCGGTTCGCGTTGGCGTCATGGCGAGGACGTCCGCGTTTGCGCGCCACTTCTGAAAAACCTAAGATGCTGAGAACAAATATGTGCATCGCATGAAGGCTAAACAAACAGTAACAATTTACCTTTAGTTTCCAATAATTCGCTTATCAGTTATTGGCAAAAATACCGTTCGATTTTATGCGTATACTGCAGAAGGGAATTTAACGCAGAACTACACTGTATGCAAAAATAGAGAGCAATTCGTTTAAAATACGTTCGATTTTATGCAAATGTATGCCTGTATACATAACTGGAATGTTTCAGTAAAATAAAGCCAGAGAAAATACTACTACGGGCTTTATTTCCTTTTTATGAAATAAATCAATCGGGCGTTATTTCCTTTTCTTTGGGAAATAAAGCCCGCAGCCATTATTGCTCTTTCGTAAAGGAAATAAAGCTATTTCCCCTTCAAAAAGGAAATAACGCCTATGGGCTTTATTTCCCTTTTTTTTGCGTAATAAAGCCCATGGGCGTTATTTCCGCGGGCCTTATTGCACTCCACCGGAAAACAAAAACCGAATTTTTGTTCCGTTGTCGACATTTGATTTTACAACCAACAAAACAAGAAAGAAAGTTACTAAATTCAACCAGATATTGCCAAGCTTATATTATGTGCAGAACGTATATGTACATAATATGTATATCCGAAGGCACCGGCTCGCTATTAGATACCATCAGTTCAAAATACCATTACAAGCTTTTCAGAGAATCAGCGCTTTTCATGCTTTCAGCGCTCGGTTTATCTATAATTTTATGTCGGCAAGAACGCCGAAGCCACAACACCATGAAAAATTGGTAGGGATTACAAGCTCATTGTGGCCGAAGAATCGAATTTATCTTATGGCACGTTGTGTTACATGTACATGTGTTGCATTTGGATATAGTACATGTACACCTCCATCTGCATAAGGCTCTGGCCACAAAACAACTGAGGGAATCTGATCATTCACAGTGTTCTGGATAGGTTTTATTGCATTTTGCGTTTTGGCGATTTGCCACCGATATCATCTGGCTTGGCACCGTTGGACGTTTTTACGAGACTAGACATTAGTTTAGATATCACAATGAGGTGTACATTGCGACCTTATGATCTATGCTGCACTCTCCTCTTCACAGCACCTCTTCTAAGCCTAGATCATTCAGAAATTTTAACATCGGCTTCAAGGATAGGGAGTGCAAGTGTTTAAACTGTGGGCACATCCAGCCTATACTTCTCTCACGTCTTCTACAGACTGCATCACACCCGGTGAGAATGCGTAGTGGTGCCTCGCTTGTCAAGTTGCAGGATCGTCAAAGATTATTTGACCATATCCCCAACTTATGTAGATCTTCTTAGTCTGCAGTGTCCTGTAAGGATACCTGTTTGAATTGTAAGCCTCCATCTTAGGAGGTTAATTAAGCTTTGGAATCTCTGCTTGTTAAACCCTTCCAGTGAACTCTTTACCTCACGGATTCTTCTTGAACTATGCCAATTTATATCCCTAAGAGTGTTCCACTCTGTACTGAGCTCGGAGCTTCTCTAGCGAGACAGTGCGCCGCCTTTACCCTAAATTCGTCTGTGGCCAGAAACCAGCTAACTTGATGTTATTGTGTCTGCCAAGGGAGTTGAGAGCCATGAGTAGTGATAGAACTTTTTAGAAAAGTATCGATACTAATACTCACATAGAATACTCTAAAAAAGAATCGATGCCTGTACTCATATTTGCAAAAAAGTATCGATAATACTCGTACTTCCAAGTATTCTCAAATCAAACGAAAAAAGTAAACAAAAATCAGATTGCTTTGTTTTTTCACCTGTTCCTATTTTTTAAATTTATAGTAAATGCTTGTTATAGTTTTTATCTGATCTATGACAACCCGAATGTTGTGTCTATATATTCCGAGTAAACTCCACTTCTAGCCTTCTCATCAGCTCCCATGCCAGGGAATATATTTTGAAACTCATGTATATCTTTTTATTAATATTTACAGACCATTCTTTACGAATACATATTAAATATAATATCCAAAAAAGAAGATAGAGGAAAAGGATTAATAACAGATTACACCTGTTTACGAAAAGTGAGTTTCCAGATGAACCATTTAAGTAGTTGAAAATTTTTACTCATAATATGAACTCGTAGATTTGGACACATCCTAAAGTATTGGAAGACGCTTGGAAAAATGCAACAGCTGTAAGTAAAGTTTTCAAAACAAAAAAGAGCAGTAATTGATAAGCTGTAACCGTTTTTCAGCAAAAGCACAAAAAAGACCCGCGGAAAAACCCAGCCGTAAATTCTGACGACGATCAACCGGACGATGTTTACGATAGTCAAACTGGTGTAATATCTGTAACGAATGACTGGTGGCGTAGCTTACTAGCAGAAAAAGACTTGGAGACTATATTACCTAGTAATAAGCTACGTACAATGTTCGAAATACTACGAATGTGTGAAGAAAAAGGGGAAAAATGGTTGGTTTGCAGTCAATTGTTTTATATTCATTACAGACTATTTAATTTAAATATATCAAACGCTTGCAGTCTAATTTTCTCAGCCTTTGTAGCCGTATTGAATGTGGTCGAATATTTTTTCAAGAAGATGAATGATAGGGATCCCGATACTCTAAACGAATTAAGTATGCAATGAAAACAATAAGCCTGATTATTAATATATGAACGAATAATATTTTAATTACTTCTCTTAGAAATGTCACAAGGATATCAAGTGAAAAACACTTGGATACTTGGAAAGGACTACTATCGCTTAGATGGAAAAACGCCGAAATTGATTCGCCATGCGATGATTGAACAATTTAACTCGCTTTCCAATAAGCGTGCACGTGTTTTTTTGATATCCTCAAGAGCTGGTGGACAGGGCATTAATTTAACCGGTGCTAATAGAGTTATCATACTTGACACGTCATGGAATCCATCTAATGATCAGCAAAATATTTTTCGAGTATTCCGCCTGGGTCAAAAGAAAAATTGCTACATCTATCGGTTGATTGCTATGGTATGATCTCAATACGAATGTGTACATATCGGATTTCGCAAATTATCTACATACATAAAATTTTTTATGAATATCTAGGGCACTATGGAAGAAAAAGTATATTCGAGATCGGTAACTAAACAAGCTATGAGCTTCAGAGTTGTCGATGAACAACAAATCGATCGACATTATAGTATGGCAGAACTAACTGAATTATATAGGTAAAATATTACTTGGCAACAAAAAAAAACAGATATTGAGACTAAAAAATTTTACAGCTTAGCAATACCAGACTATGAAAATAGGCCTATGCCCGATTGTCCACAGGATAGCATTTTAGCCAGTTTAATTTTAAATTATCCGCAGTTGGTATATAAATATCACGAACATGATAGTCTACTAGAAAACAAAGTAGAGCAAGAGCTGAGCGAGCAAGAGAAGCAGGATGCTTGGGCTGCATATGAGCGAGATCAACAATTGAATTCAGGTATAATGTTAATTCAATGTTACCAATGTTTTGCATAAAGTAAAAAGTGATATTTTCTTGCAGAAATTCGTGAAATGCCAAACCCGGATGAGTGAGTAATGAAGCATTTGTTTACATACTAATGTATAAACCTGAATATTTAGAAAAATTTTTCATTTGAATCATTTGATAATCGTTATTTGTACGATATATATTTTTCGATCATATTTTATCGCTGTTTTATAATTTTTTTCTGGCTAAGAATAGTTGATATGTAGATGTTCTAACTAATCGGTTGTTGTTGTTGTTGTAGCAGCATACAAATTCCCCAAAGACTTTTTGGGGAGTGTTGCTGGAGTGACAGTCCTTGGCCAGATATAAATCTGGGTCGTTCCGATTACGTAGACCCGACTGTCGGTCTTTATTATTGCTTACAGTTTTTCCATTAATCTTGATATAATCTAAGATAACTATTATTAGAAAAAGGAAACAAATCTATAACAATTTTCGGAGAAAAAGCAGTCTAGTATGTTCGTTAAATTACGGTTTCTTTTTTTAAATTTAAAACATAATGTTCTTAGATTAAATGTTACTGGATTTTCATTAGTTTAAATAACATTCGATCATACGTATAAGAAACTCCTACCGAATCTGTTAGTCGATGCAATACAATTCAATTAAATACTTAACTTTCATTTTTTAAATACATGCATGTAAAGACATCAAAACATACATAAGGAGTGTTCTCGTATTCTTCAGTAAAAATTTGCCTTCAGGAAAAATTTTGAGAATTTGGCAGCATTCGCTCTCTGAGAGAAACAAAAATCTACAGAAGTACGAGGACACAAAACTCGCAAAGAACGAAACAGCTGATCACTTTCCCAGTAGCCACAGGTGGTCCATTTGTTTATTTACTTTTTGCTGGTACATTGTCCCCTATTTGGTGTTTTTTATACCCGAGCGCAATTGTGCACAAGGGTATTATAACTTTGTTCACGTAACGGTTGTTTATAACAGCTAAAACGAATCGAGATATATATAGACAAATGTGTACATAAATGGTCAGAATGAAAATGAAGTCGATTAAGCCATGTCGTCCGTCGGTCCGTGTACACGATACCTCAAGCAAAAATTAAGATATCTCAACGAAATTTGGTGATTGCTCTTTAACCAAGGTAGGTTGGTAGGCGAAATCGGACCGTTGTTGTTGTTGTTGTAGCGGCTACAATAACCCCGCCCAGATCGGTTAATCCCTCAATCTCTCTCTACTAACGGCAGCCCTAGGAAGCGTGCAGCCTCGACGGGATCTGTCCATAGGGACAGGGGCGTTAGCGTGGTGGGATTTAGAGGGCATACGAAGAGATGCTTCGTTTAATCTGCTCAGGTATGAGTTCAACCTGCTGCAGTAACCAGAGCGCAGTTGGACTATTGTGGTCCGAGTCTCCCGAGGCAGACGAAGTTCTGTCTCGTCCAGGTCTGGTGGTTGTGTGCTCAGAACGGCATTCACAGGTCGGGAGTCTACATAACTCGAGACTGCCTCTCTGTGAATGCCGTTCAAGGCCTGTCGTTAAGCTGTCATGTCCAGATGTTGTTTGATGAACCTCTGGACTTCGTCCGTCAGTTTGTAGCCAGGAACTGCTTGCAGAGCATTATGTTATGCTCCTTAACAGGGAGCATGTGGACCTCCTCCTGCAGGCGGTGTTGCGGCGACATCAAGAGGCATCTTGTCGCTGTCCTAAGTGCCGTGTTCTGGCAAGTCTGCAGCTTCATCCAATGCGTCCTGTTGTTGTTGGTGTTGTAGCGGCTACTAAGCCCCGTTCGGTGCGGTTCAGCCATCAACGTTGTCGTCAATTCAATCAGCTAGGGGGAGGCCCAGGAAGTGTGCTACTTCCACAGAGGCTGTCCATAGGGACAGGGGCGTTAGCTGAGTGGGGTTCTCAGGGCATGTGAAGAGGTGCCGGGAATCATGTGGCGACTCTCCACATGCCGGGCGTTGGTTGGGCACATCCTCGCTGATTCTGCTCAAGTAGGAGTTGAGCCTGCTGCAATAGCCAGAGCGAAGTTGGGCTTTGTAGTGCGGGTCTCCCGAGACAGACAAAGTTCTGTCCCGTCCACGTCCGGTGGTTGTGTGCCTAGAACGGCATTCACAGGGCGGGAGTCTACATAACGTGAGACTGATTCCCTGTGAATGCCGTTCAGGGCCTGTCGGTAGGTTGACGGGTCCAGAGGTTGTTGATAAACCTCTGGACCTCGTCCGTCAGTTCGTAAAGATGCCTCCTGACGTGCCGTGGCGAGGGCTCTTCCGCGAGCAGCTGTCCGCTGGGATGGCCACGTCTGTGGCTCCCAGCAAGAAACTACTTGCAGAGCATTATGTTATGATCCTTTACTGGGAGCATCTGGGCCTCGTCATGTAGGTGGTGTTGCGGCGCCATCAGGAGGCATCCTANCTCCTTGACTGGGAGCATCTAGGCCTCGTAGTGTAGGTGGTGTTGGGGCGTCATCAGGCGGGATCCGGTCGCTGTTCGTAGTGCCGTATTTTGGCAGGTCTGTAGCTTCATCCACTGCGTCCTGCTAGTCCCAGGCGGTTTAGAACCGGCCGGTCAATTGCCTTGTATGTTGCCAACAACGTTTCTTTATCTTTGCCCCAAGTGCTGCCGGCCAGCGACTTGAGGACATTGTTGCGCTTCTGTACTTTGTTGACAATTGCGGTTGTATGCGCCGAGAAGGAGAGCAGACTGTCGAAGGTAACTCCGAGGATTTTCGCGTTATTCACCGTCGGTATTGTTACGCCATCAACGTGAATACCCAGTGGCAGTCTGACCTCCTTCATCCAGGTGGTGAAAAGGGTTGCCGAGGATTTCGCAGGGGATAGGGCAAGGCTCCTTGCAGTGAAGAAGCGAGAAAGTTCGGAGAGGTAACCGTTTACTTTCGAGCATAAGTCATCAATTCCATTCCCAGACGCCATGAACGAACAATCGTCAGCATAGGAGACTATATTAACACCCTCTGGGGGCTGAGGAAGCTTTGAGATGTAATAATTAAACAGTAGCGGGGACAGGACACCACCCTGTGGTACCCCCTGTTTAATTTTACGTGGCTTGCTAGTTTTGTCTCTGAAAATTACTGACGAGTGTCGACCACTCAGGTAATTCCCCGACCACCGTTTGAGTCCCTGTGGGAGTTAGGAGGCCTCTATATCTTCTAGTAGCGTTGAATGACTGACAGTGTCGAAC